TACTTAATCATTTTCTGCTTATTTTTTTTTCTTCGGGACTTCCAATCATCTTAAAATTTTATTATTATTCCCAGGGGGCTGTTTTGGGGAATGCTTTCTTCTAGGAAACTTTCCTTACAGTTCCCCGGTGCTCTCGATTCCTGCGGATTCTTCACACAATCCGCAGCCCCTGGGTCCAGGGACTTACTTTTTCCCTGACCCATCTCTGGCGGCAACAAACTAAGGAATCTCCGGTACTAGGAGAATCTTAGTTCTTCTTACACTCACTCCTTGGTTCAATTCCCTCACTTATTACTCTGTCACACTCCCCTTTTCCAGCTACTTATCTCGCACCTTAAACTCCTTTTTACTACTCTTCCTTCTCTTACACTCTTTTTGGCTACTTTCTTTCACTTTCTAAACACTTACTAAATGCTAACTATTAACCCCTCTAAAGAAATTGAATTAAATTCAATTGTTCTCTTTCTTAATCTCTCTCTTAAGTTACTCTCTTTTCTTGGACAGGGACCCTCTTTCCCCCCCCTTGGGCAATCCTCCCGGGGTCCCGACGTACTCACTCCCTCTCGCTTCCCTCCTTTCCTGGCCGGCCTTCTCGCGAAGGTCGCGGAACCGCAGTACCGGGAGGTCCCTCTCGCTTCGGGGGTCCGGGACTGCCCAGCCCCCGTCTCAGGCACTCCACACACACTCACACACACACACAGCCGCCCCCCAAACCCAAAACCCCGTGATACTCACAGCCTCCTTTTCTCACGAGGGCTCTGTGCACAAAGTTCTTTTACATGGGTGTTTTCTCCTGCAAGCCGGCACTTTTGATGGGAGCTTTTTCAGCGCGCTTATTTTAACTAATTTGCTTATGCGTTATTATATTTATAATTCTTTTTTCTAAGGGAGCTTGGTCTAGTCTTGGGACTACTTAAAATCTGGCGGTGGGGAGCTTTTTTCCTGAGAGCTATCTACCTCCCCAGGACCGGGAGAGTTCCCGGGTTTCGGCACCAAAAATTGTTATGTTTGCC